ACTTTGAAAAAGTTTTTACATGTGTCTTTACCTGTATGTACGTAACATATATGTCTGGTGTATGCAGAGGTCAGAAAGAAAGTCTGATGACCTGGAACTGTAGTTACAGGCAGTTGTGATCCACCATGTGGATGTTGAGAACCAAACCTGATGCCCCTAGAAGAGCAGCAAGTGCTCTCACCTGCTAAACCATCTCTCCAACTCTGTTTCCAACTTTTTGCTAAAGTACATATGCTGCTCTGGACATGGGTATGCAAACATCTGAGACTGCTTTCAAGTTTTTCAATAAATATCCAGAAGTGGAATTGCTTGATCACATGATAATCATGTTTAATGTTATGAGGTATTGCCATACTGATTTCCACTGTCCTTACTCTCACCACAGCTTGCTATTTTATGTATTTTAGGCTATCTCAATAGATATGAAATTGTATCCAGTTATGATTTTGTCTTATACTTACATAATTAATGATACTGATCATATTTTAAAACAAGTTTTAAAAATTTTATTATTGGATGGGTATCATCAAGGTGAGTTCTAAAGAACATGTATGGAGGTGCAACTGTATAGAGTAAGTTTTCTCCTTTAACACTTGCCTGGGTTTAGGAATCAGTTTGCCAGATTTATGCAACAAGCACCTTCACCCACTGAGATATCACTGCCCCCTACCTAGAGGAAATTTAAATTTACTGCATAGTATTCTATTGTATGAATATGCTATCATCCGTTTAACCATCGCTTTAGTGCTGATATTTGTATTCCAATAAACTTCACATTCTGTAATTTTAAAAACCAAAATAGTATTTTACATTTGGCTTTTCTTTGTAAAATTCCTAATGGCTTTTCTTTTGTTTGTTTTGTTTTTTTTAAGACAAAGTCTCATGTAGTTCAAGCTAACTTAGAACTACTATATGTGGAGGCTACCCCTGAACTTCTGATTTTCCGTTACAGGCGAAAACTACATCACAAAAGGGAAAGTGGAAAGTGAGTTTAGGACTGGGGTGTTATCCCATATGCTCACTAGTCACATAGCTGGCTCGTTTATAACAGGCTTCAACACACACACACACACACACACACACACACACACACACACACTTTACTTATCTGTCATCTCGTCATCTCTTTCTCATCAGGAAATATTATGAGAATTTTCCAGTTTAAAATCATACAGGTTGTGAAAAATACAGAAATGAGGGTACAGAATATTTAAACCACTGTCAGTTACATCATCCAAAGGCCACCTATGCTTATTTTGGGTAATTTTAAACCTCAAAGGATCTCTTTGTGGGCTCCTCCACTACCCTCCTCTCTTCCCCAGAGCCTGAGGTTATAACCAAAGGGATAGACTAAAGACAATTGGGTGTCTTGCCTATTTTGTCATTCCTTGTCACTGTTTCCATATAGCTCTTTTGAAATTATGAACGTATTGTATCATTTGAAAACACAATAAATGATACTGCATTTCTGCAAAATTCCACAGGGTATAGGGTGGAAGATGAGCCATACGTGGACGAATCAGCCATATTTAGAGAACCTGGTAAGGCAAGAGGTGTTGAAAATTTGATTCATCTACTAATTTACTGGCTCAGGGTTTGTCAATCACTACAGCCTGGCAAATGAGAATAGAGAAGAGTCCTGGGAGGGAAGGGGTGACGCAGCATGCCGCATACACTTAAAAAAAAAAAAAGCCTGAGAGACAACTGCGTAATCATACTGCGGCACCAGTTCCTCCATCCCCTGCCCCTGAGTGGCTGGAGCAGCTGCTTGCGGAGGTCTGCCCACTGCGGCTCTCTGCAGTCTCTAGCCTGTTCCTTCAGGGCCTAGAGGCGGCCTCGAGTCTCCGCCCAGACAGCCGGGATTCAATTCTGCTATCCCAGCTTCAGCACCGCCTTTTATCCCCTCTGCCATCACTCCTGCAGTCCAGCCGCCGCTGCCTTTTGGTCCATCTCCGCCCGATCGTCGATCGTCGTGCATCTGCTATATTGGTGAGTCTTCCTGCGGAGGTCGGGTCTCCTGATCTGCGGGCTTAGCCACCATAATAAGTGCAGGCGATCTTTTGAAAACAATGGCTGAGACAGCTGAACACAAGGAACTGTCTGAATCCAACCAAGAAGAACTTGGTAGCCAGGTAATGGCGGAGGGGCCCGGGGGAAGTCAGGACTGCAGTGAAGGTGCCTCCACTGAGCCTGCAGATGGCGGGCAACATGGTGAAGAAACCGTGGCTGCTGGAGTAGGGGAAGAGGGAAAAGGCGAAGAAGCTGCTGCAGGGTCTGGGGAAGATGCTGCGAAATGCGAAGGTACTGATGAGGACTCAGACCGTCCAAAAGGACTTATCGGTTATCTTTTAGATACCGACTTTGTTGAAAGTCTCCCAGTGAAAGTTAAATACCGAGTGTTAGCTCTTAAAAAGCTTCAAACAAGAGCTGCCCATTTGGAATCCAAATTCCTAAAGGAATTTCACGACATTGAAAGGAAATTTGCTGAAATGTATCAACCCTTACTAGAAAAAAGACGACAGATCATCAATGCAGTCTATGAGCCCACAGAAGAGGAATGTGAGTATAAATCGGACTGTGAGGACTATTTTGAGGAGGAAATGGATGAGGAGGAAGAGACCAACGGCAACGAAGAGGGCATGGTGCATGAATATGTGGATGAAGATGATGGCTATGAGGACTGTTATTATGACTATGATGATGAAGATGAAGAGGAGGAGGAGGAGGAAGATGACAGCACTGGGGCTACCGGAGGAGAAGAGGCAAACGAAGAAGATCCTAAGGGGATTCCGGATTTTTGGTTGACTGTTTTAAAAAATGTTGAAGCACTCACTCCTATGATTAAGAAATATGATGAGCCCATTCTGAAGCTGCTGACAGATATTAAAGTGAAGCTTTCGGATCCTGGTGAGCCTCTCAGCTTTACCCTCGAATTTCACTTCAAGCCCAATGAATATTTTAAAAATGAGCTGCTGACAAAGACTTATGTGCTGAAGTCAAAGCTTGCATGCTACGATCCCCACCCTTATAGGGGAACTGCAATCGAGTATGCCACTGGCTGCGACATAGATTGGAACGAAGGGAAGAATGTCACTTTGAGAACCATCAAGAAGAAACAGAGACATCGCATCTGGGGAACTGTCCGAACCGTGACTGAAGATTTTCCCAAGGACTCTTTCTTCAATTTCTTCTCTCCTCATGGGATCAGCTTAAATGGAGGGGATGAAAATGATGATTTCTTACTTGGTCATAATTTGCGTACTTACATAATTCCGAGATCAGTGTTATTTTTCTCAGGAGATGCACTTGAATCTCAGCAGGAGGGTGTAGTTAGAGAAGTTAATGATGAAATTTATGACAAAATTATTTATGATGATTGGATGGCTGCAATTGAGGAGGTTAAAGCCTGTTGCAAAAATCTTGAGGCATTAGTAGAAGATATTGATCGTTAAAGCAGAGTAGATGCTTCTGAAATTAACTGCTGCACATGCAGTTACTGACGACGTAAGCAGTTAATATTGGCTTGTGTTCTGCATTTTTCCTGTCATGCCAGTTTAAAAATTCAAATACTAATTAATCTGATCTTGCATTGTAGTGATATGATGTTTGCAAGACATGTATACTGTGATAAATGATTAAAGGCATTAATATAGTGTATAGTATAATTCTTCTAAGTCTTTGTGCCATGTAGCTATTAATCTGTGGCTGTGAATATTAGTAGAAGTGCTAAATGAGATTATTTGTTTGCAAAGAAAATATTGGAAACCTACCTAAGAGTGCTTTGCTATTTTTCCCTTATCTTAGTGCTTTAGCCAATGGACTTAAATTTATTGTGCCTGCTTCATTTCTGCAGTAAATATGCCGTAGAATTTAAAACTTGAATGCCTAAGAGGCCTGCATATGGTTGAGAATTTCAGGCAAAATCATATTTATTATTGATAACAGCTAGTGCAAAGCTTCTGATTATATGTGACTGTGATAAATAATAAACCTCAGTTGTATTGAAGTTACTGTTTATCATTGATGTGTGAGTTACAGTATTTTCAAATGTTGCAAATATTGTCCTGTGTAATTCTGTAAACTGTGATTACAGTGTACGTTTCTCTTTCATAATATACTGAATGATTAATCGAAATGGACACGTCACCATTTCTGAAAATATTTCACATTCTGTTCATTCACTGAAAAATAAAATGAATAAAAATGTCATGGTGTTATATGTTTTAAAAATGAAAATTTCAACTATAAAGGCAGTATGTTCATTGAAAGACACATATAAAAATATTAAAAATATACATTAACTAAAACCAAAAGACATATTCACCAAAGATGAACATTGTTAATATTTTGATTTGTTTTCTACAAATTATTTTTCTACAGGTTATTCTTATATGTTTATACATGTATGCAAATTTATCAACACTGTCTAACATGCATATTCCAAAATTATTTATAATTGATCTAATTTTAATTTTCAGATTGAATTGCAGGGAAACAAAAATCCAGTAAATTCATTTCTACTTTATAATGTAAGTATTCTTCACAAATAACAGATTCCTACGTGCTCTTCTTTATTTTAAATTTCGTATCTATCTTTCTACAGTGTTATTTGTATATATCCCTTTATGACACTGGAGGGCAGCACTGACTAGAAATAGCAGAATAAGCTGCTCAGCTTGTCCAGAGATGAATTTGCTTTTGTCCTTTGAGGACACTCAGATGTCCCCCCAAAAGAGGCTTTTCCTTTTGACAAACTCTATGAAGAATTACATCTATCCTCCTAGGATAAGGGACCTTCTTGGTCACTTTTGTGTCACATAGAAGTTGTGGGTGGCAAGGAAATGCTTACTTTGTCTATTATTGTTTAACTATTGAACATGCCTCCTTCTTTAAACTGGTAGTCCAGAGAGGTAAGTGTCTAGCACTGCCTATTTTTCTTACTTCTATCTGGTACAACTGGGGAAGAAAATAAAAGCTTTACCTTTTCTATTCCTTTCTAGGCAGGACCTTCAAAGCCAAGATCTTCTCCCAGATATGATAATATATGTTCTGGTGCTTTTCTTTTGGATTGCAGTAAGTGGAAGTCTATAGGGAAACAGACAACTTACTGCTATAAAGAACCAAACGATTCTGCCAATGTGCATCCTGTAAATACAGATAACATCACTAAAAAAAAAATCAGGAACATAAAAAATACTTTTAAAGCTGGAGGTGGGGGCATTCTCCTGTATTCCCAGCACTGGGAAAGTGGATATCTGAAGGAAGATCAGGAGTTCAAGGCCAGCTTCAGCTATATAAGGCATTTAATAATAGCTTGGGCTATGTGAGACACTGTTGTAAAAATAAAGAAGCAAACAAACGAACATCAGGAACATGGGTGATTCTCTTGCTGTTTTGCAGAGAATGTCTAGTGCCTTGCAGCTTCCCATGGCCTTTCCTGTTGTCTCTGTGAGGTAGAATGGTTAATGTGCTTTGTCTGGATGTACCCCGATAGCAGACCAGGACCCCATTGCTATTACTTTCATGTTAGTGTCCTCTGTCAAAGGCATGTAAGGAATGCACCTAGGCTTTATCCAGGCTTTTTCAGAGAAAGATAATATATACCACAAAGACTAGAATAGATCCATAAGTGTTAGAACACAGTGAAGACTTTGGTCTTTGTGTACTTTGGTGGAATATTTAAAGAAGTAGGAGGCTGCTGTAGATTGGATACTTGGCAAAAGTAGGAACCATTTATTAGTACTAGCTCAATAAATATTAGCCATGATGTATCTTGGAAAACTAGAAAAATGATAAAGCTATACACTTGGTAAAACAGTTGGAGCCTGGCTGGCAAGATTGCTCAGGAGGGAAAGGCACTTAACACTGAGCCTGATGACATAAGTTTGATCCTCAGAACCCCCATGGGCATGGAGATAATGTACTCTTTCAAGCTGTGCTCTGACCTCCACAGATGCATGTGTGTGCATGCACACACAATGTAAAAAAAAAGATGCACACATTTTAGCTTCTGTATGGGGGTATTTGATATTAAGAAGAGTGACATAGTACTCTTTTATTTTTCATATTCTTGGACAAATTAAGTGGCCTAGCTTTGTCTCATTTTATTACACTTTCCAAGTAACCTTGTATAAGGTTATTATTCTACAAAATGAATTATATCCAACAAGAGACTAACATGGCCTACCTGTATGAACCAGCCCAGATTCTTGATACCAGGGATTGCTTTTCATTTTCCTTTTTTCCCCCATCTTTTCCCCAGGGAAACAATTTGAGGCTCTCACTTCTCCCATAGTTTTGATTTATCTTTAGTGCCAGAGTCTTTCAGGCCTTGAGGTTAGGCTTTCAATCTCTGGCGACCACTTAGTCCTGTACTAGAATTTAGGTCCCAACTATGTTAAAAATTTGATTTGGAGGCTGAAGAGATGACTCATCAAGTAATAATACTTTTGCAGAGGACCCAGGTTCTGTTCCTAACCCCCATGTCAGGCAGTTCTCAGCTGCCTCCAGCTTCAGGGGATCTGACGTCCTCATCTGACTTCCATGGGCACCTGCACTCATACATGTATATACCCCACACAGACACAGACATATATTCTCACGCACAATTTTATTTTTTTTGAAACTTGTGGCTGGAAAGATGACCCATTTGTTAAGAGGATTTCCTGTTCCTGAAAAGGACCTGGGTTCAGTTCCCAGAAGGCATATCAGGTGACTTACAATCATCTGTAACTCCAGTTCCAGGGCAATTTATCACCATCTTTTGGTCTCCTTGGGAACTGTGCATATAGCACAGAGACATACATGCATGCCAAACACCCACGCATATAAAAAATAAAGAAATCTTTAAAACATTAAAAAAATATATAATTTCACCTTAATTCTTTTTATACTTTCATTTATCTATTTATTCACTTTACATCGTCACTGCAGCCCCCCTCTCCTCTCAGTCCCACCTCACATCCCCTCCCCCCATTCCTTCCTCTCCTTCTTTTTAGAGTCACAGCAGGAGTAAATGCATCTTTTCTCACTGAGGCTAATCAAGACAGCCCAGCTAGGGGAAGGGGATTCAAAGGCAGTTAACAGAGTCACAGACAACCCTGATCCAATTGTTAGAGGACCTACATGAAGACTAAGCTGCATGCCAAAAAAGAAAGAAGGCCCAAGGGAGGATGCTTGAATGTCACTCAGAAGGAGAAATAAAATAGACATCAGAATTGATGGAGGGAGGGATCTGGTTGGGAGAAGAGGTGGGGAGGGGGACAGGGGTGGGGTTCTAGTATAGAGAGAGGAGGGTGGGGATGAGAGGGCTAAGAGAGAGAACAGAAATTGAGGGGACATCTCTGGAACAAGCCAGAGATCTATACTTGCATTTTAAAAATAAATTATTCATGTGATTTTGGACTCCAGAAGGTTATTTGAGGTAACTTTTTTGAAGGACTTCTGAGAATTTTTGTCCTCCTAGGGAATAGTCTAAAAGATATATATATATATATATATATATATATATTTCCCTTTTTAATACATCATAATAAAAAATAAGGGATTTGGTATTATATATCAGAGGGACTAGTCTTTAAGATCAGGCTATCTGAATTCTAAACCCAACCCCTGTAATAATGTACAGTTTTGAATATAAATACTATATGAATCTATCTTTGTTATTTTATTAATATTTGTATTTGTGAAATATTCAAAACTACACATTACTAAGTTACTAATTAATAGCAACTATTACCCTAATTATTTTCCAATGTAAATGAAGTAAAAGTTCACACTTTGTATTTCAAGAAGTCTCCAAGATATCTGCAAATACTAAGATAGACTAAGTGCCAAGTTGAGCAGCAGTACTTAAATTATTCACAAGACCAGTATATTAGTTACTTTTCTGTTGTTGAAACGATACACCACAATCCAAAGCAATTTATGAAAGAAAGTTTATTCTGGCTTATAGTTCTAGGAGGACAAGATTCTAGCATGTTGGGGTAGCATGGAAGCAAGTAGCAGACATGACAGCTGAAGCAGGAAGCAGAGGGATTACATATTCAACTGCAAGCAGGAAGCAGAAAGAGATAACTGGAAGTGAAACTATGATATAGACTTTCAAAGCCCCTTCCTTAAACAGGGCTACAACTCCCTATAAATGCCCAAAACATTATCACCAACTGGGGATCAAGTTTTCAAATACCTGAGTCTATGGAGGACATTTCTCATTCAAACCACCACACCTGGCTCATAAAACGGCTCATAAAGTCAGTTAATCCTGAGGTATTTTCACATTGCCAAGTATATTCATAGCTTTTAGTTTGTGTATACTAAGCCCAATATTTATTTGATGCTATTTGCTCGGTGACTGTGGTGCTTTGAAATAGGATGGCCCACATAGTCTCACATATTTGAGTGCTTAGACATCAGGGAGCAGCACTACTTGTGAAGAATTAGGAGGTGTGGCCTTCTGGGAATATATGTGGTCTTGTTGGAGGAAGTTTGTCACTGGAGGTAGGCTTGAGGTTTCAAAGGCCCAATTTCTCCCTCTTCCTGTTGCCTGCAGATCCAGATATGGAACTCTCAGCTATTTCTTCATCAGGTCTGCCCACATGCCACCATGCTTCCCATCATGATGATAATGGACTAAACCTCTGAAACTATAAGCAAGCCTCAGTTAACTGATTTCTTTAATAGGTGTTGCCTTGGTCATGGTGTCTCTTCACAGCAGTAAATGAGTGATTAAGACAATGACAAACAAATATATCAGGAATCTCACTATAAACATGTGGTAACCAGAGACAAATAGAATATAGAAAATAAAAATTATATGAAAATTATATGCAATTTATAGGTATATAACATTTAAGCTTTGCTTAGCATATAAATATGTACAATATGAAGTATGATTTTTATTGATAAAATAGAAAATATTTAAAAAAGAAACAACACATCTGTGAGATGTATTTTCTTCAGATTATTTGCCCAATGACACATTTTAAAACTAGAAAGGAATGTTCACAATGAAGCAGTTTCTGTCTGCCATTTAAAAATAAACACTTATTAATTATCTATTGGTTTATCTATTCTGTGTTCAAAGACAATAAAACTGGAGTTTAAGCAGACTATATATAGCCTACTTCCTCCATAGTCTGCTTGCTCATATACTGTTATACCTCCACTGACTCTACATATGTGGGTTTTTGTGTGCCTGCCCATTTCTCTGTGTGTGCACAGATAAACCTGAGATGGAACATGAAGTACAATAGGACTGTGAGGAAGGGCACGGCCTTTCTACATAAAGGATCCCAGCCTTCTATGGCTTTGCTCTTTTAGGAATATGAAGACTAGTTTAGCCTAACTTTTGGTCTCTGACTGTGAAAGCATGGAAGCCTGTCTTCGAGTATGCCATTGAGTGGTGTGCAAGCACATACATGCTAGCCAAAAGGAATGGGTGAAGCATCACTGTTCAGGCCCCCATGCTTTATGAACCCATGCTTTATGTGTAAGGATACATGTGGTCTGTGGTTGGTGAGAAAAAAGGTAGTCCTGATGTAAGCAGGTGCCTTAAGCAGCTTTGTGGTCAAGATAATTCCTCACAGATGTAGCCAGAACCCAACCGGATCCACTCAACCCCACAGCTAAGACTTCATCAGAGGACTCTAGGCTGTTTCAGCTGACTAGCACTCCTTCTCATTTGTCAACCTGACATAAAAACAGACCACTTAAAGCCATAACCTTTCATTCTTGTCTCCAAGATCTCACATTAAGATCAAACACAATACAACTTTTAGATTTGAATTTTATGGTTAAGCTTTTGACTTGAATGTATTTCTGTACACCACATGCATGCCTGGGTGTGATGGTTGTGAACCACTATGTGGGTGCTGGGAACTGATCCCAGGTCCTCTGCAAGAACAAGTGCTCTTAACACCTACCTGAGCCATCTCTCTTGTCCCCAACGGCCCAAATTTTATAAGTTCCACAATCTAAAAATTTTAATACTTTAAAAGTCCAAGGTCTATTTAAATATCCAAAGTCTCTTAAGTGTGGAATATGGTAAAATAAAAGCAATATGTCACAGAATTTATTATTCCTAAATGGAAAAATATGAGTGTGCAGTTATAATGACATCCCAAAATTCAGTAGTGTGAATTAAATCCTTTGCTTCAGTATCTAATATCTGGAAATCACTCATGGTCATCTGGGCTCCAAATCACTACAAA